CCAAACGAATCTAAGGCACTTTAGGACCACTAGCTCTTTTTTCACTCTTTCAAGATACCATATATATTAATTTTTATTAATAACCATTATAAGCAGCTAAGAAAGCACATCCAAACAAAACTTAAGTTTCAAAATAGAGGAGATTAACAAGTCATAACCTAAGGTCTTCAGAAATGAGAGAGGACTTTTTGAGGGAGTAGAAACATCAAATGCCTTATAAACTCACTGTTTGATTTGACCAAACCTAGCAAAATGATCCTTACACTTATTGGGGTTACTAGAAGCCCCCCACAACAGAGCAAAGGAAGTTAAACACTCATTCAATGAAAATAATAGTAAGTGTGAGTGCATTTCCATTACTACAGTGGTCATACCGGATAGGTAGATGATTACAAAAATTTGTCCATATGTAATGAATTGACATTTCATTTTGGAAGTAGTAATCTCAATGACAGAAGAGAGAGTAAAATTATAAGCCCATTTGAGGACAATATGTAAAAAAGGAAATGGAGATACAAGAGAATCTTATCATAAGCCATTTGAAGATTGGAAAGTAATTTATAGAGCTCCTCATTAGTAATAATTAATGGAGAAGAAATAAATGAATACGCAAAGCTTCAATAAACTTAACCGAACAATACAAGCTAAAATCTTATCAACAATCTTTAGATAAGGGAGTCCTATATAACAAACATTAAAAAAGCTATATGAGGTCATCTAAGCTGGTAAAAAAAAAAAAAAAAAGCTCGAGACAGAATTTGATTGAACTCGTACAAAATCTTCAAAGCAAGAATGTTTTAATCAAAATCGATATTTATTTTAAAGTGTTTAAAAAGAGATTGATTCCATACTCTAGAAAGATGAAAATGGCCTCGCCGTCTCCTGAAACAGGGCATTTGCGCTGTTTTTTTGTCCTTGGTTGATACTGAATCTCAAAATCATATCAAGTACTTGAATATCCATGCTCTGGGTGCTCCCAGTGGACCACCATTGTGTCAAAAACTTCAAGCTCCTCCTCTGAAATCTATCTTGACATGAAAGAATGTTCTCCCGCATTAAAGCATCATTTTTAAAACCAGACACACACCATCAGCTCCCTCGCATACAATATTTGAAGCTCTGCCCTGGTTGTGACCACTGGCTGAAGTATGCAATATGCTCTAATGGTCCTTACATGAGGACTATCTCCTCTAGCCCTAATTAATGCATCCATCTCCACTACCAAAGGGTTTCTCTAAAATCAGGAAGCTGCAACACCGGATATATTGATCATAATGTCTTTAAACTCCTGGAGAGCTTGGTCCGCTTTCCATCCTCATTTGAAATATCCTTTTTTTAATTGGCTTGTTAAAGAACCTTGCTATGGACCACTATCCTTCACAAACTTCTGGCTAGTAACCAATGAGCCCTAAGAACCCCGACAGCTCCCTCAATCGTTCTTAGGAAGAGGCAATCCACCATAAGCCGAATCTGCATTGTGTCAGTCTGGCACGCCTCTATGGACACACACATGCCTAAATACCCACTTGTGAATGCACCAAACGTTACACTTCTTCTAGTTTGGCAAATAGATTGAATGCCCCTCAATGTCTTCATGATAGCTTCAAGTGCTCCCATGTCTGCCTCGATCACTGGCTATATATAAAACTTGTCACAAAAATACCGATGACAAACAACCTTAGAGGTATGGTGATACACTACTGGGTTTCATAAGTGAACTGGAATAGTCAGGGGTGTTGGTGAGGCTGAAAGGTATTACCAGAACTACATAGTGCCCTTCTTATATCCTAAATGTCATCTTGGCACGGTCTGTTGTCTTAAATTCCTAATTTGTCGGTATGCTCGACTTCAACATTCAATTTTTCGAAAAATACACAGCTTCCAAAAAACTCATCCAAGAGTTTATTCTATAACTTGAATTAGAAACCTTAATATTAGCACCATTTCTTATTTAGAGCCTTATAAAGGTACGCATAACTTCCAAGTTGGTCATCCTTCTTTTCACCCAAAAGTATGCGCTAGAGAGGGCACTAACTGTCCATCATCATCCCTGGATTAGCCTCTTTATCTTCACCTTCAGATCTAGGGTAACGGTGTGGTCTGAAAGATGGGAAGTCCCTTCTTTAAAGTTGATGGATGCTCATGCCTCGAGTGATAGTAACTCCGACCGACCATAGGCTACAAATACATCCTGAATATTGTTGTAAAATCTGTGGACCCAGCTATGGAATTCGTCATTGTTCCTGGCCCTAGACCACTTCCTATGCTTTACACTCTTACCAAAAATTCCTGGCCCTGCATCCTAAGATTTGTCTGTCGCCATGGTTTTAAAAAAGCCATGATCGA